CTATAGTTATTGCAGTCAATTTTTGAGTCTTCTCTATGGATTGGTATATATATCATTAGGAGGAAGTTTTAGAATAAAGGTTGGAACGCTGTTAGGACCAGAAGTCTTGCCATCATTTAGAGAAAGAATAACTGATATTATTTTATTTTTTTCAGTTGGCTTAATAAAAAGAGAATCAGGGTTTGATGTATTTAAATACTTATGGAAGTCAGTATGAAATGAATGAATATTTTTTTGCAGTGTTTTAGAAATTGAAATAAAAAAGGAGTTAAAAAATTCCGAGATTTTAACTGGATCATTTATAATGATATTGTTTGAAGATATACAAGATGGATATGAGATGTCATTTAAACGTATATTCAAAAGAGTTCTAATACCCTTACACGTAGCTCTCAAACTGTTGCTATTGGTAGTAAAGTAGTTAGAAAAGTGGTTTTTTTTCTTCTTCCAATAGGTGTTACAATAAAGGTTTTGTATGTTTTTTCAAGAATTAGTTTGTCATAAAAATATTTTGTTTTAAGGAACTTCTTAAATATATTTTTTCGTTTTTTTAACGAGGTTAAAACTGCTGAAGTAATCCATGGCTTTAGGTTCTGAGTTAAGCCACGATTACTTAGTTTTTTTAGTGGTGCGTGTTTGTCCAGAAGAGAAATAAAGGTAGTGATGAAATCTTCATACGATTTATTTGTATTACTATTGAAAACTTTGATTACTTTATCCCAGTCGATTTTCAAGTAATCATTCCTGAATTCTCCACTTTTTAGCTTAACACTTTTTAGCTTAACAAAGACAACTGGAAAATATATACAGACATTACTTTGTAGAAATAATGTAATTTTTAAAACTTACTATTTTATTTGAAATCTTAAATTTTTTAGATTTACTAATTGTATTAAATAATTTTTTGGTATTTTTTAAAGTTTGGAAATTTCAATGAAAATGATGATCTTAATGTAAATTTTTTACCTAACAGGTAAAAAATTTACACTAACAGGTAAGATTTTTAAATTTGTAAAAAATAAAAGTCGAATATGCATTTATTAAAATTATATTTATTTTTTTTCAAATTGATTAAATGGTTTATTGACTATTTATTAATAGTTCGATCTTTGCCAAGTTGTTACTAGTATCGCGCTCAACTAGTTACTTAGCGCAACTGCTCTGTTTGTTAATGATTGTGTTTTAGAGTAATATTCAAGAGTAAACAAGCAATAATTGAAACGAAAAAAGAGTGGCCTCATCAGTAGTTCCTCTATCAGCCTTGGAGAGTTACATTAAAAATATATATGATATTTATAATAAGTAGCATATATATCTAGATTATACCTGCCTACTCCCAATCCTTCAGTGTATGTATGCACTGCAACTCCTGTAGATGACCGTTTTAGTATGACATACCAATATGTTTAAATATTTGCATGTATGAGTAAATATATATATATATATATATATATATATATATATATATATATATATATATATATATATATATATATATATATATATATATATATATATATATATATATATATATATATATATATATACATCGCATCATCGTAATCACTACTATCATATTCATCATTATTATTTAATAGTTTGTTGATTCATTTTAATTTTAAAAGAAACTACATGCTTGCTTTAGTGGCAACAATAAAAATTTAATCATACATTATTATGAGTGGAGCTAGTATTTTAAATATAAATGTTAAAAATGAATATCTCTGTCAGTTGCTAAACTGACGGAGATAATATAGTTTGAAATAGTCTACATTTTATTTTAATTAGTTGTATCCTTTTTTTAAGTTGGTAAACGTCAACTTATTTCAACGAATTCTTTTGGGTTTTTATGATCTTTTTTCCTCCATTTAGTTGAGCAGTTGATGTGTCAAGCAGATATTTTTGCTCGGATTAAGCTTTTAATATGTAGAGTAACCCAAGGATCATTTTGTTTTTTTTGTTTTTTCAATCTTAGGGATAAAAAATTTGCAAGCAGTACAATAATAAGAAATTAATATATTGAGCATTTGATCCACATTTTTGTGTAGAAATATAATATCTCAATTGATTGATGCAATAAAATTTGATATTGAACTATAATCAGCTTTGTTGTAACTAAACAATAGAGATTCGTTTTCAGGTAGCGGTTCTGAAACTAAGGTAATACTAAAGCAACCCTAAGTGTTATTACCTAGTATAGAATTAGTAGACAAATTTAAAATAGAACTATTGTTGTAAGTAAATAATAAGTCCAACATATTTTTTGGAGAACCATAGGATGTCTGGAAAGTAGGGAACGTGATGTATTGTGTAAAGAGGCTATTTTGGTAAGCGTTCCAAAATTCATACTCGTTAGAAATGTTTGGAATGAAAGATTTAATACAATTATTAGACGACTTCATATTCGGAAAATTAAAATCACTAACGACCAAACAGTTATCATAAGGTTTCCTAATAAAGCTATGAGCTAATTTGAAAGATTCAGCGACATATTAGATTAGTATCATTTGGTCTATATATACACCCAATAATTGTTAACTTGTACTGGTACCCAAACTTGTTCAAGTGAATTTGTATAGAACTGATTAACTTCGTGAGAGTTAAATAAGTCAGTAATGTAGATAGCTACATTGCCACCTCGACGTCCGTCACAGCGATCTTTGCGATATAAATTATACCCATCAATGTTAGGAACTAAGTCATTTCGAAACCATGTTTCGGAGACAGCAATAACATGATATTCGAACGTTCTAGCTATTGCAATTAAATCGTTCATTTTGTTATCAAGGGATATTGCATTAGTGTACTAACAATTAACTCTGTGGCTTGTTTCCAGGTTATTTACGTCTTCACCCTTGTATTTTATTTTCGTTGTTAGGAGAGTCAAGGGTAGGATAGTGGTTCTAAGGCAGTGGTTTGGAGATTTTTGAGCTTAACAACTCCGCTGCTTCGTATACCGTGTCTAAAGGGCGGTGTTTTTAGGCTTATATTCCTATTTAATTCATTACGCTTCATTCTTAGTTGGTAGTTTATATCGTAGTTAGTAGTTAAATATCGCTCAGCCTCAGTCAGATCTGGGCTTATAAAGACATTTTTGTAATCGTCTGAATGTTTTAATTTTTTCGCTGATGTAAGTAATGGGTTTCTTTCAGAAACATCTGACAGTTCGACGATAATTGGTCCTGTTTTAAAGGATATAGATTTAATACGTTTTACAAATTTTGATTTTGCATCAGATGCAAATGTATGTAATATGTTCTGAGCCGTTTCCGTATCGTCGATTTTCTTTTGTGCATCTGATAACTGAGTAGACTCTTTAATACCATAAATAATTACATTTTTTTTCTCGCTTTTTTTGATCATCGCAGAGGTTTTTTTTTTTGTTTTTTTTTTAATAAAGATTTAAATTTAATATGTAAATGTAATTTATAAATTACATTTAGGTATTTATAATTTCAAATATATTTAGGTATATATAATTTCAAAGCGTAAATATTTTTTTTAAAAACATAATATTTTTTTAAATAGTAATAATGATATTATAAATAAAATATTTTATATACTATATAAACGTGATTATATATCTTTTTAAAACTGATGAAAACTCAGATAAAAAAAGTATAATTGAAAATTTTTTTATTGAGAAATAAAAAGAAGTGCAGAATAATAAGGTGCGAAAAAAAGAAAAGAAAAGAAAAACAAAAATTTTTTTTTAAATTTACGAACAAATAAAAACGCGTCTTACCTATTCAAAAGTCAAAAAAAAAATCGTTATTCAATATAAATCAAAATCAATTTAAATGAAATTAAAATCGTTATACAATAAAAGAAATATTACAAAATATATGGGTATAGAAATAAAAACAAAACAAAAAAAAGAACGCGGAGACTCGCAGAAGACCTTCTGGTCTTATCATCGAGACCGCTCGTGAATTTTAAGTAGATTAAATAAACATGAAATATAAAATCAAAAAACAAAACAATGTCGTAGTAATAATTAGCGAGAACGTAAATTTCGTAATAATATATAAATAAAATTGAAATAAAGAAATTTTTGATACTTTAATATATAAATACAAAAATATTTTAAAAAATTTTCATAAACACATAAGTTGTGGATCAGATATAATATTTATGTATTACCTTATGTAGTAAACTTCATATTCATTTTCAGAAGAATTTATAAATCTTCAAAAGATAAAACAACTTCTTTTAGTTTTTTTCTTGAATGAAAGATAATTCCATTCGTGGGAAAAATCAAAATTTTTCAAAACTATTTTGTTCCAAAGAAAAGCTCTACGATATGAAATACGACTATCCAAAATTAGTTAAAGAAATTATCATTTCTTAAGTTATATTAATTTTTATCTTTTAAGGTATATAGATTATGAAAAGAAATTAGAGATTCGTTGGTTTTACATTTGAACTTAAAACAAAGTATATTAAAAATATTCAGCTGATATATATTAAAAATTTTCATTTGAAATAATAATGGTTTGGCATGAACATATCGATCTTTATAATTAATAAGACGAGCATATCGATCTTTATAAATGATAAGAAGCTTCTGCTGACAATAAAGAAGTAGCAGTTTAGATTTATTCGTACCCCAAGCAATATTTGCATAATTTATGCAAATATAATTAATTAGAAATATAATTGAGAAATGTAACTGTATTATTAGATATAAATATTTATAAATAATTTATAAGTACCCTAAAATTATATGAAAACTTTATTATTTAGGTGTCATTATTTTGGTCGACTTTTAAAAAAAAATCATCAACTTAAGCCTAGTTCGCTCCTACATCTTTTATTTTTGTCTATACAATAAAAAAATTGAAACTAAAATTGAATAATTTAAATTAAACTCTATTGATAGGGAAATCATTTAAACTTAACGTACTTTAAACAAGCATTTACATGCTATACAACAATCAAGTGAGACATCCTCTTTCATAAAAGAGTTTTATTTCTAAGATAAATAAAAACTAGTGTAGTTGATGCAATATTTGAATAAATAAAAAAAAAATACAAATCCGAGCTTAACTCAAACAGTTCAAAACTTTAAGAAATTCCTTTTTTTAATTATTAAAATAAATAAATATAAAAATAGGAAAACAACAACAACAACAACAAAATAGATATTAAAACTCGACAAAAATAATACTGTTAAAAAATTTTTATATTACCGCTTTTCGAAAGAGTTTTAAAATTAAATTTAAAACTAAACGACGAAATACAATTTAGAATTCGCAATTTTTAGGAACATAATATATAACATCTTTTATATTATATATATATATATATATATATATATATATATATATATATATATATATATATATATATATATATATATATATATATATATATATATATATAGGCCTGTAGCAACCGGGGGGCAGGGCATTTGCCTCCTCCCCTCCCTCCTCCCCAATAATTTTTCAAATAAACTAACTTCACTAATTTTAAAGTTAAATTTTAGAAAAAAGCAAACGATTACAAATTAAGAAATAAAAGAGAAAAAGGATAGACAGGACCTAATTTGTTATCCGTATTTTTGGGGTAAGTTCCATTGACACAAAATTTTGACCTACTACTTTTTGCCCTACCCAGTAGTATTGTCCCCCAATATAACTTTGTTCCTACGGGCCTGATATATATATATATATATATATATATATATATATATATATATATATATATATATATATATATATATATATATATATATATTATTTTAGTTCTTTTATATTATATATAACAGAACTAAAATAAAATAAAAGACTAATAAATCAAGTTAAACTTTGTTTAAAACTTAATACACTAATATAAAAATGCAACACAAATACAAAACAATAAAAGCAAATTGTCTATCCTAATTCAAAATAATGCATCTCGTCTACATACCCGCTTAATAAATTTTGATGAGTGACAGATTTTTTCACAATCATTAAGAAAACTAAATATCATGAACATATGAAATTATTAAACTGCACTTCACTAAAATTAAATGAAATTTCTATTCAAAATGTAACTGTAAACGAATATAAATGTCCTAAAGTTTGAAATTGCATTTTCTCAATCTGTATGGTTTTCTTGAGTTTTGATTTTAAAACGAAACATAATCTACCGGAGGGTGAAACTATCATAATTACTGGTCCAAGCGGTTTCGCAAACAAATGTCGGAAGAGCTGATATAGCCTCTCGTAAAAATTTCGTCCGTGACATTTTACCATGTAAATAATGACGTGCTAACCCCATTTCTGCCAGGTCAATAGAAACATCCGAAGTTCGCTGTTAAATAAAAATATTACCTTGTAAAATTAAAATTGGAAGTACGGTCACTATTAAATATATATTAGAATATTATTCTAATATATATTTAATAGTGTGTCCCAAAAAAATACTTTTTTTAAAATTTCAATGTGCTCTCAACTGATTCCCATTGTATAGGTCCTAAATAACTACCAAAAACTCTTTTTAAATTTTTTAATGAATAGAAGTGATAGATGTAAATTCTGAGTTTTACGGTTTTGTACACATGTGTATTTACATAAAAAAAACACCGCTATCTAGTATTTCAATTTGTTTTAATAAGATGTAATAATTGGTACACAAATAATTCCCATAGGACATTATTAAAGATTGGCAGACAATATTATTAGTTGATATAATTCCCCATGGATTGGTTCACAAATAATTCCATTTAAAAATTTTTTTTGAAGGAAAAAACTTCTAAATGGAATTATTTATAAATGGAATTCTAATTTGTGCACGAAGGAATTCTCGTGTAAACGGTTATAAAAGCCGTAACGGTAAACTTTGATAAATTATGATATGAGAGGGAATAACGACTATGGATTTTCGATGCAGGTGTAAAATATGGTATAGATCTAGTTAAAAATGTGGTTATTTAAAAATTCATTTAAAAAATGGGTAGAACAGCTAAAAAAAGAATGACAATGGGACAGAATAAGAAAAAACGGAAAAATACAGAAGGTTGAGGTATATTTATTTATTGAAGTACCCACTGAGGGATTTACCTTAAAGACAGCTTCCATCTAATGGTGATATTAAAAGATACTATCAATTTATCCTTCGCGAGTTACAAGTTGAATACAAACCAACTTTTACTGTTGGTTTCAAATTGAAATCAAAATCCAAGGATTTTGTTTGTGAGAATAGTGATTATACAGATCCTGATAATTCTTGCTTGGTAACTAGGATTAAAAAAATTTGAGATAATGCTGGGTTTGGAAAGAAAATTGTGATTTCTAAGTAGAATATAAAGACCAAAATCATTACACTAAATTTAAAATACAAGAAATAGATTAAATTGTCTTCTCTAAACTGGGATAGCAGTCTTGATAAGCAATTAAAGTCAGAGAAAGATTTTCTCACAGAATCCTATCAGCTTTTTGACATCTCGACTAAGAATTTTGAAAAAGATATTCTTGCTGATAGATTGACAACAGATGATGCCAAGCTGGAAGATATAAAGTAAGTTCATTAAATAACACTTTTTTGAGGAGTGAGATTTTCTTTCCAATTTAAAGTAACTTAAGTAATAGCATATTATTTCCTTTCAAATATTATGTTTAACTCTTTCCGTGATTTGGTTATCTTCCAGGAAAAACTAGAACAATTATTAATTTATTTATAAATGTCTTAACAGATTTAAATATAAAAGAAAACTAGAAGTTGGATAGGAAAGGATATATGGGAACAAAAGTCGATGGAGACTACAGTAGGAGAATACTGGATGCAAATAGAAAAAAGAACAAGCTAGATAAGTTGAGATATAAAGAATTAGAGATAGAAAAACTTAAAAGTTATCAATAATGTTTTGTTGTCACACGACTCAATTCAGAGATTCAGCAGTGAAGAAGAAAAGCGAAACGAGGACTCTGAAATCAGTGAGGAAGAAGATTTTCTGGGTTAATGATATAACGTTTTCACAACTAATGATATAATGCTTTCACGAAGCTCACCATAGAAAAAAGTTCAAATATATAGAACTTGAAGGAGACTTGGAGTGGATTTCAATTACAAATCATCTTAAAGGCGGACGGCTAATTCTTCATTTTGATACCAAGCTGTTGAAACAAATTACAACTGGGCTTAACATTATTCAAAAAATTGAGAGACTTGCAGTCTAAGTGAGCTCCCCGAATGACAATACCATGGAAGACCATTTTTTAGGTGTTGTTCAATGTCTATCTTCAAAAGGAGTTCTCTTCAAGCAGAACAAGTGCACAATCTTTTAGAATATTATAGATGTAAGGAGCACATCATTGGCCTGAAATCTGCAAGAAAGTTAATGAGGTGAAAAATTTATGTAAATTGGACTGGCAAGAAGATGATCTGAAGATTGGCTCTGTTCTTCGCACTGTCTTTATATGACCAAAGATATCAGTAATATCTTAACAGAAAAAGAAGTGCTGCAGTTTAAGGATACAAGCTTATTGATTGTAATTAGCTATGTTCCATAGTTTTAGAAAAGATTTTTAGGATTTCTGTCTCCCTACAATGATTTGAAAGCTATCCAGACAACCTATGCATTAAGAAAAGTCAAGCAGAAGATTGGAAATGCTTTGCTTCTCAGCATGGGATGCCATACACGGTACTTAACTCCGCAACTCGGTGTTTTACCCTTTAGGGATAAAGAAGTTCTTTCTGAAACAAAGCTAAAAATGCTGTTAGCTCTGATTGAGTTTGAAGAGCCAAATGACTTTCAGCATTGTAAACCATCAAATGTACAAATTAGAGAGACCACAGAGCTACCTGAGCTGATTTCCGAGCAAAGCTACCTTCTCTTCAAACATATTAAAATATCAAGAGCAAGTATAAAAGAATGGCTCAATAATTGTCTTAATACTATAGATGTTTTTAACCATTCTCAGTAGCTAGATTTTGTTGTATGGATCAAAAACATATCTGTTGTAAATGATAGTGCAGAAAGAAACATTAAGCTCATTAAAGATTTTATTTCAGCTACTAGAGATGAAGATCACCTTCAAAATGTACTTTTTGTAGCTAAAAAGTCTAGAAAAAACTTGACTAAGAGTATGACCAAAAAGGAGCCTGGGAACTGTTCAAAAAGTTGTATTTTTTGAGAAATGTTTCACTGCAATAAAATCTTAAATCTGCTAATAAATATTAGTTTTTATATATATATTTTTTTTGTATTTTCATATTTATAAATATAAACTCAAGTTATCAAGTAAAATAAATATAAAATCAAGTTAAATAGTAGCGAAAACAATTGGAAATGATTTATCCTCATCTAATTGTTTTGTTTTAATTTTCTAAAATGTAAAAAAATTGTGTTTTTTGTTAATGTTAAGCTAGCTTAACATTATAACCATAAAATCAGATTTTACATCTAGCACTTCCTGTCAAAATAAAACTGCCAAATATTTTTAGGACTTATTTAGGTCTAATAGAATGGGAATTAGTAGAGAGCTTTTTTTTTTTTTTTTTTTATAAGAAACCCTAATATTTAATCATATCTTTTAAATATATTTATTATAGACTGAAACAAAAAATATTGAGATTTCAATGAGAATGCAAAAACAATACAAAATAAAATTTAGTAGCATTAAAAAAAACTTCATACCTCAAATTCCATCCAAAACTTCCAACTACTTGCATAGTAACCATGAGAATAAAATACAAAATAAATTTCTGAACTAGGTTCTTGATAATCTAATTCAGAATAAATATGGGTGCCATTCTGTTTATACATTGACCAGTCTGCAAGTATTACACCAGCTTTCAGGGTAAGAAATATATTCATATGATCAGGACCTAGATAAAGATCACTAAACTTATTTTTTTTTAGAAAACAGTAACAGATTAGCCTCTAATTATATTTGATTTCATTAATTATTTCAAATATAAACTTTTTTTTATATAAATAGTGATAAATTGCAAGTCTCTATTTTAAAGAGTAATAAATATCTACCACTGTCTAAAATACCTTCATACTTTGTAACAAAGCCTGTTAAAAAGTACAGAGATAATATTTATTATATAAGAACAAAAAAAATATAATTATCGTTAAAAATACATTTCAATATCAATTAAATTCTAACAAGCTCCTAAATACACAAATAAACTAAACACACACTCACATGAAAGTAATTAACTTAAAAAAATTAACGAAAGTAATTAACTAAAACAAATTAACAAAAAAAGAAAAAAAAAACCTTTAATTTGTTTATCGTTGTTTTTTTTATCACCAATTATAGTAAAATAATTTAACAATTGTTAATTATTGAAATAACAGAAAGAACATTAAGCAACAGAAGTCGATCCAGGATTTTGTATGCCCATACTAACGTCAAAAAAGTTTGCCTAAAATTATACTGATTAGAATAAAATCTAAAAATTAGGCACTACCAACCTAAATGCCAAGGGAAGTTTTTTTCTAGATAAAATATATATTTTTTGAAAACAACTATTTATGTATACATTCAATGTTTAAAGAAAAAATAATCCAGAGTTTAAAAGCCTTTACTAAGTTAAAGTCTAAGTTAAATTTACAATTTCCTCAAAATCAGGGGGAGTAGGGGTGTGTGGTGGAGCGGTTTCTATATAACAATCCTGAACTTAATGGTGATAGTAATGTAACTTATGTAAATTGATAGTAATATGTTATTTATATTTAATGTGAATATTCCATTTGTATATCAATACTTACAAAGTGTAAATGTCAATACGGGGCAATTTCATGTGAAAACATTTAATATTTTTATAAAATACATCCCTAAATCTCAGATTTTGCTAATTCTTACACCACTCAAAGATTTTAATAAGTTGTAAACATCCCCAAAAATTAATTATCTAATTCCTAACAGTTTCAAAGATAAAACTATTTTAACTGTGCCTTAAACCAACTAAAAATAGCCATTTCTAAAAATGGTTTTGGTCTTTCTGTGCAATGGAAAGCAGAGTTGTCAACAAGGTCAAAAGTAGCCAGGCCAAGACCAAGGCCAAACGTTTTAAGTACAAGAACAAGGCAAAGGACAAGGTCAAGAGGTTTAAGGCCAAGGCCTATGCAAACATTTTTAAGACCAAAGCCATAAACTTTGGCTTTACGTTAAGGCCAATTATTAACAAAACTGTAGGTTGCAAGTGTTGTAACAATAAAACCACATGTTATGAAATTAGACCAAGGTTATGCGCAGAATTCAACAAAGTCAATAAGAAAATATACTTGTAGATAAAAACCCAAAACAAAAATAATTAAAAATTAATAATTAAAACTTTTGATTCTTTAATTTTATATATTTTTGTGCTTAATATTACAATAACTATTATTAACATCATTAAATTAAAGATATGTTGTTATTAGTTGTTAGCATTAACTAAATAGTTTATTTTATAATTAGTCATAACCATTAACTATCACTATCTAGCCTATAAGTCTTTATTATATTTAATAAACATCAGTGTTTCAAGCAACAAATCAGACATATCATATCAATCAAGGGCACATTATCAATCCACTCTGACAAAAGATACGCTTGACAGGAGCTGACAATGCAGGGTCAAAGAAATACTTGTCAAATATAGGTTTCTAATTTTTGACATTGTTTTATTAACAAAAAATCTTTTTGATTAAATTCTAGGGATTGATTTATTCTTGTTTGTTAAACATGATTTTTTCTATTATTTGGAGAATGCATCATTTTTTCTATTATTTGGAGAATGCATTATTTTTTGGTAAAAGACCTTTGAATTGGAGGTGTAAAACTATTTTTAGTATATGTCAAAGTGCTTTCTGGTGTTGTCCTCATGACTGAAATATCAAATTAAACTATTGCCTATTGGTTCAAAAAATGGAATTTATGAATAAAATTACAAAAAAAACTAAATATACATTACTAACAACTTTTTTAAACAGATTTAGATAAGTTGAATAAAAACAGTATAAATAAATTAAAAAAATACTTTATAATAAATTATAATTTAAATATATTAATAACTATTTTAATTCAAAAAACCTTAAAAATTCTGTCTTTAATTATAAGAAAAAATCATGTGTTTAAATCTTTATAAAAACCAATAAAGATAAACAATAAAGACCAAAATTTTAAAGGTCAAGACCAAGGCCAATAGTTTCAATGCCAAGGTCTTAATTTTTGGCTAAGGCAAGGCCAAGGCCAAGGACTAACAACTCTAATGGAAAGCTGAAGATATGTAGATTTATTTTGAGGCAAGGAATTTACTTAAACTTTTTATTTATAAAACAGGAATTAAGAAAAGTTAAAGGAAAAAAAGGTGGTACTCTTAGGTGCTTAATAAACAGGTGGGTGGCAATTTTTATTTATATTTCTATAAGTGAGTGAGTTTATATTTTCTAATTTTTAAGATATAAACCAGTTTTAAAAAATAGAAAATAATAACTGAAATTTTTATTTTTTATTTTAGAAATACAGTTTCTTTGTTCATAAAAAGTAAAATTTAATAAAATGGGAGAGGCGTCTTAATTAGCTTAGAGTGGGAAAATTTTCCAAAAATTAATAAACATCAATTTCCATGTATTAATCACTTAGAAGTTCCACCTTTTTTTCCTTTGATTTTCATAAATCCTGTTTTATAAATAAGAAATTTAATTTGACCATGTATTTTTTTGTGTTTAAGATAAGATCTCTCTCCAATTCTTTGAAACAACTCTAACTAAATTATTTAAGACAACATCTAAAAAAACAAATAAATCGAACTGTCAATTTTTGTAACTTAATACTTTAAATTTCCCCAGTAAAATTGCAATAAATGGTAAAATTTCAGCTGCTATGTTCATTTTTAAATATTTTAAATTGTTTTATTGAATTCCTTGCCTCAAAATATGTAAGTATACATATTTTTAGCTTTCCATTGCACACAGAACAATTAAGACAGTTGCATGCAGAAAGAAATCAGATGCAGAAGTTGCGTTTACTTTTAAAATGGTTTGATCTGCACAGCAAAGTTTATAGAAACTTTCCAGTCTCGAAGGTGAGAAAGTTGTTGTGTGTTCTGAGTATGACAAAGTTTCATTTTACAGTCATCAAATTTTAATGTTAACAATATAATTAAATTTAAAAAATATATATAACATTAAAAAAAAAATGTTATCTAAAAATTAAATATAAGATCCTTGGTTTATAAAAGAACGTTTTTAAATCTTCTTTAGAATGTTTTTGTAACTTTTTTTTTCTTTTAATATCTATTAATCTTTATTATATGTAACATTGTTTTGATACATTAGATGTTTATTCTATTCTTATCTTCAGAGGTTCATTCCTCTATCTCTGCATTTATATAAACATTACAGTTTGTTTCAGTTAAATCGTAATGTAAATTGAAATCTTGGTTCTAGTTAATAAATGGAATATAAATTCATATGTAATAACTGTACAAAGTTTACTACTTAAAGTTATACTTGGACCAAATGATTATAAAACAGTTTATAAAACAGTAAAATACATACACACAAAATATTATTCTATTTTATAATTTCACTAGTTTATTAAATGTGACATTTATTATTGTATTAATATTAATTTTGATAAGTGTAACATTCGCAATATTATTTGTAAGTCACTATATAACCTGTAACAGCCAATTTTACTTGTAAAAATCAGTTAAAACTCAGTGACAACTTTTATAGTAGGATCAATACAGCTAGCAAAACATCATTTAAAAAAAATCAAATTATTTAAAGAAATATTAAGTATTCAAATACCTTTTATGTCAAAATAAAAACGTATCCTATTCTCTTTAATCTCTCTTTTGTAAATACTACTTGAAAGAGGGTTTTGTCCTCCATCAGGCTTTTCACCTAACAGATACCATTGTTTTCTAAAAATATTATAAACTAGCGTCAAAAAAATTTATATTAAGTACTTAAAATATTTATATAAAGTGCTTAAGATTTATATCACTTTATATTAGGTAAATTAACAAAAAAATTTAATTTTAGACAAAAAACAAAGAAATTCTCTCAAATTTCATCATTTATTAATGTTCATTGATGTGGTACTTTGCATAAAATGATTTTTTTGAAAACATACATTTTTAATATAGAGCAAAATGCTTTAACTATGAAACATTTATAAACTATAAACAAAGAAAAATTAAACAACAACAAAAAAAAACTCTACCTTTACACTGAGTGCAAGGGTGCAAGAGCACACTGAGTACAAAGGTGCAAGCTCACATTAGTGCAAGAGTGCAAGTACACACTGAGTGTAAAGATGCTTGACTCCTGATTTAAGACATAAAAAACTATATTCTATCAATATTTCCCCATTATACTAATACTTTATATATTTATATATGAGGCCATGAGAACAAAAGTGGTGTAACCCACAAATTTACAAAATTTGTTTTTTTTTTGCATAACGTAATTCTATAAAAAACTTAAAGAAATGTCTCAATTGATGGTTAAAAGCTGCTATGAATTTAAAAACAAGTGAGATAATTCAATTAAAAAACTACGGAATTTTATTTTTACTATTTTCTCCACTTTTTTAATATGTTGCTTACACCACTTTTGTTCTCATGACCTCATATATACTATTAATTCAACAATCATGCATGTTAAACTTTTCAAATGAACATTTAAACATTTTAAATTTTAATAACAAAGACAGTCAAAACTAAAGTAGGATAAATTTAAGCAAATCAGGAAAACACAAAACACAAACAAAAACCAGGGAGAAATGTAATAGATCTATAATAGATAATAAGCACAAGAAGAAAGAAATCTTCAATTGGTGAATTATATTTATGCATGTGTAGTAGTTTAAAATTTGGCAACCATTTTAATTTTTTGTCAGTAAAAAATATATTTTTCTTAACATAGAGTTTTTTTAAACTTTTTATTAACTTTAATTCTCAAGTTTAAGTGAATAAAAATGTTAATAAGTAATATTAATATCAACTCAATTTTTTGTATCAACACAAATTTTGTGTGAGTATATAAGTAAAAATAAAAAAAGCATTTTTTGCTGTCATCAATGCAACTAATACAATAAATTTTTTTCTGAATCTAAATTTTACTTTTTTATTTAGAAAATATTTACCATACGTTTATCTAAATGAATCAACAAAGCAGTTTTCAATCGGAAAAACTTCATTTTAAAAACGTGTTATTAAGAGTAATTTTAATTATTCATATAAATGTGTTGTGTGGAAATATTTCCTTAAGACACTAATAAAATCACTAGAATAACTTGTGTTGTGCAAGTGATTTTATTAGCGGGTCGGAAGACATGATTTACAGCATGCACACAAAGTCATAAATTTAACATAAATACTATTTGCAAACTTCTCTCCAGCAAGTAGAAAGACATTTTCGAAAAATTTATAAATATTTTTCACAACAGTCTATCTGTATGTATAAGGTCAATTATAATAGTTATGACTAATTTAAAATGTTTTTTAAACCTATTTTACATGATAATACATGTATAATATAAATATATAATCACAAAAAGGTAAGACACAGGAAAAGATTCTTTACAGCCCTTTATTCTTTTACTTCAAGGTACAGCCCTTTTACTTTAACCTCTTACTCTTATGTAGTTTATGTGTCCATTGCTATGTGCACCATCTTAGGTCCGAAACAAAAAAAGTAAGTTATATGACATACATTGGTACAAAGAAAAGGTTAAAATATATTTTTTTAATTATTTTTATTAAAAGTTAATTTAAAACATTTTAATTTTTAAATAAAGAATTCCTTAAACTATCGATATTAATGTTTCATACAATGCGCAAATAGCTTTAGCATAGTTTTTTATTGGTTGATTTTTAAATTACAAATTTTTCAGAATATTAGTAATAATAATTTTTGTCTTACAATTTCTTTTCTAATTAACAATCCCTAAATTACCTGGTGTTTAAAAAAACTATAATTAAAAATATGTAAGTTTTGACTGTTATTATTTTTGCAGTGGTAACTTTATTTTTTTGTTTCTTCATTAATTTTTGTAATATGATAAATTGAATGTTTCATCAAAACAGTGTTCACAGTTTTTAATAAATTAAATTTTTTTTTTCAGAATATTTCAATATGCGATCAATTAATTCAAGCCTTGATGAAGGTTGTTAATGTTCTTTTGTTAAAAACATTAAGAGTTGTAAAGATTGCATAACTTATATTGTCATTATTGCTGCATTTTTAGATTTCAGATTTTTTTTTCCAATACAAATTGTTGTTATTTTTACTGTAAGCTAAGTATTTTTGTAAGCTATTTGGCTAATGCATAATAAGTTAGTTGTTCGTAACATGTTATTTTGGCTAAATCATAATAAGTTAGTAATTTGATAAAAAAAAAAGCTGAATTTGGATTTTCAAATGTGCTTTGAAAATCTAAATTCAGCTTTCAGTTGAATTCAGTTTAAAAGTCTAAATTAGTCGTCCAGTTAAATTGGGGTCTTGAAAAGTCAACTTTATTGCTCCTTAGTGTTCATCAAGAACAAGTTCAAAGTGCTTATTGGAGACAATCTCAAATAACAATCCTTACTGTTGCAATTTATGGTAAAGATTTCATGAATATTATTGCTTATATAACATATAAAAATTATTACATAAAAGCAAACATCAGTGTCATGAAAAATATTTAAACAGTTCAGTTTATTTTATCTTTTATATATATCTTTAAGGAATGCAAAACATTTGTAATGACTTTTTAAAAGGTTTACACAACCAATTCAAAGATTATAAAGATTATAGATTAGATGAAGATTAGATAAAGATTATAGATTATAGATATATAAGATTATAGAGATAGACTATCTTTTCATTATATAAACTTTATAATTTTCAAAATATTGTCAAGCAACTTTTAAAGGGATCCCTAAGTGCTCCTAACATATGATCTCATATGAAAGAGCACAAAAAAAAAATATGTAAGTTTTTTTTCTTTTTCACTAAATTGTTATAATAAATGCATGCTAACAAAAAGCAATTGCCGAAATCACTAAAAAACAACTCCATTTTGATTTTATTTTTTCACCATTAAAACTCGATTGTTAGTAAAAATCACGTTAGTATGTCCCAACAACTATAGAATATCTACTTCGATTTTTAAGTAAAAAAAGTCGTGATTAAATAGTTAAGTTTTAATCAAGTTTTTTTAATTAGTTTTGCAAAAACATTATAATAGCATTCGGTTGAAAGACGTCGTTAAAAAAAGTTATTAAGTAATAGTTTTAAATAGTTTAGAACTTATAAAAAAGTCTTACAGGGCTCGTATTAAGCGTACACACTTTTGTGATTAGTTTTTTCTTAAAAGAAAATCTATTCGCGACTGGTTTTTTTTTAGTTGATTAATTACTTTTTTTCTAGCTTAGCATTTTTTTTAGCAATTCTTAAAAGCAATGTTTTTATCATAAAGAACGTCACACAAAACTTATTATTCTGAATAGATAGATGAATTGATGCTCTTTCGCGTGGAGATTTTCTTTCAACGTAAAACATTTTTGAATTTAAATTACTTTAAATCTCTGCGTGGAAAATTTTTACAAGGTCGTTAAAGCGAAAAGTTGAAAAGTTGGTTTTTATCTTTGTTTATCAAAACTTTATGTTTAAAATAAGGCTTAAAAACGTTAGAGCAAAAAAATTACTGACTTTTATTTGCATTTTTATACTGTTTGAAAAAAAAGACTAATAAAAAAGAATTAATTGTTATTATTATTAATTCTAACAATTATTAATTAATATATTATTAGTTAATTCTTTTTTATTAGTTTTTTTTTTCAAACAGTATAAAAATGCTAATAAAAACCAGCAATTTTTTTACTTTAACGTTTTTAAGCCTTATTTTAAACATGAAGTATAATTCGATTTATTAAACCAAATTTTATTTGTTTTATCTTTTATTGGAAAACTTGAAATAGAAAAATTGAATAAAAACATCAACCATAAAAAAAACTTTATTATATTTAAACTTAAATTAGTCCTTTATTCAATAAACAATAAATTATAAAAAACGTGGTATCTAATTTTTTATTAAGTTTTTGACGATGTTTTTTGATTTATTGACGATAATTTTTTCCCCCCATTACCGCACATCGGCGCGAGCTATAAAAGAGAGAGAGAGGGGGGGAGAGCAAATTTTTTTTCGCGATTAGATTTTTTTGCGTTAATTCGAGTCCTGTCTTAGTTTAATTTCTAATAAAATGTCTATTCAACCTTATCAATTTGAACCAAAAAAATATAGCAATTTAACATAAGTGTTAATTTAACTAAAACATTTTACAATAATTATTTTTTTTATTAAGCAAAAATGAGAGTAACCGTCACTTTTGAAATCATAAAAATTACTGAAATAAATTTATTTTTCTACTAAGGAAATGTTTTAAATAAACTTTCATGTGTCTAAGTTAATATTCATTTGTTTTTAACTGACTAAAAAGAGTTTAAAATTTGACTTATATTTATTTTTAGCCGTGGAATTGTCCTTATAACACAAATATATAAATTAAAATTATAAAAAAAATTTTAATACAAAACTTATTCTTGTAAGTAATTATGTGTTAGTTGAAAAAAAATGACTTTACTTTTAAATTTAATTACCAATTAATACGTTTGCAATAATGACATTTTGTCTACTTTGTTTAATTTGACGTACAAACGTTAGTTTTTTGAAGCAATAGAGTCAATAAACTTTGGACAAGACGCATTTTTTTTAATCGAAGAAAAGCGTTTTTTTGAAAATTAAATTTTTTAGTGTGTGTTCATTATTACGTTTTAGAAAAAATAATATACAATAAACATTTTTTTTTTTTAATGCTCTTTCATATGAGATCATATCTTCATAGCACTTAGGGATCCCTTTAAAAGAATCTCAAACTGCCAAGACAAGTTGTGTTCATATTAAAGAAAAATGCTTAAAAAAACAACTTTTGTGCTAAAGATTTTTGATTAAAACTAAATAACAAAATGTCAATAAAACTAAAACTGTTGTTTTAGTCGAAGCTTGCCTTCTCCATTTTACTTTTGTTTTCAGAGTCTTTAAAATATACGTTGCAATCTAATTATGTTTTATCTAATCTAATTATGTTTTAATCTAATTGCCTACAGACTTGATAATTTATTTTATGCACATTTAATTTATAACAACTTTAGTATATGTTGCCTATGTGGATTTAAAAAAAAAATAGAAAATCATATTTATTTGTATAACTATTTTACTGAATACCAAGAATATCAAGATTTTTAAATTAAAATGTCAGTGTTCTTTCACATAATAACTAAATATGTATCTAAGATTTGAAAATATTCTGTTATTATCTTACAAAATAAAGGGGGTTTAAACAAGCTGGCCCAAAGTTTGGTGTTCAAGATTTTGTAATACTGATACTGGAACTTGTAATATTGAACTTGGAATTTTGTAATATAGATACTGGAGTCAAATATTTTACAAAAAAAACTAAAGCAAAAATCCATAACTCTTAATATTGCTTTAAAATAGGATTTAAAAATACTAAAAAAATATTTAGAATGTTCATAGCTAAAAAAGGTTAAAAGGATGAGACAAGAAAAGATTAAACGCTGATTTAAATTGCTTAAACACCTTAGGTAAGCTTAAACACCTTAGGTAAGCTGTAAACATCTTAGATAAGCTGTAAACACCTTAGGTAAGTTGTAAACACCTTAGGTAAGCTGTAAACACCTTAGGTAAGCTGTAAACACCTTAGATAAGCTATAATAATAGGGCGGTATTAATTTAATCAACAAGGGGTTAAACTAAGTGACAAGGATTGCAATGCCTGAAATAGTTCTGGCCATCAATTTTGAAGTTTATTAAATCTGAATTTCATGAAAATAACTCTGTTATTATCATAAAATTCAATAAACAGTATTCACAAAAAAATATATATCCATTGATCTTGAAATTATAATACAAAACTGACAATATAAAGTTTAATTATCAAACAAAACTAGGGAATAAACTAAATGAAACAATTTAGTATATAAAAAAAGCATATATATATATATACATGTATATATATATATATATATATATATATATATATATATATATATATATATATATATATATATATATATATATATATATATATGTATACTTTTTTTTTTTGCAATAGTATTAAAGTATTATAGAATTTGGAAATCATGAAATATTTTAAACAATTGTAATCACTTGATTTTTTAAATTTGTTCTTACTTGATTTTTTAAATTTTTTCTTATTTAGCTATGTCTTACAAATGAACTAAATACTGTCATTAAAACACTTGTAACTTTCTTCCGGTAACATCTACAATGATTTACTTTGACAAACTAAAAACAGGGGTGTTTGTATCTTATTTAGTAATGTCTTACAAATTAAGTAAATACTGTCATTAAAATACTTGTAACTCTCTTTCGGTAACATCTACAATGATTTACTTTGACAAACTAAAAACAGGGGTGTTTAAAAAATTTATAAGTTTAAAAAATATGAAAACTAATTTATAGCATTGATAGTTCAAAAATAAAAATAAAATCTAGTAAAATACTTAAAAATATGTATTTTTATCTTAATTTTATTAAATTAATTTAATAATTGATAATATTTAATAATTAATAAGTGATAATTTAACACTTAATATTGTCAGAGAAAATTTTTTAACATTTGTGTTAATCACACTCATAAATAATAGCAATAATAATATTAATAATAATAAAGTTAACAACAATAATTCATTTAATATAAATATTTTAAATATTAAAAAACATTTTTATTTAAAAGATATATTTAAATAAACTTTAATACCTTGCTATTACTCTCATTGAATAATAATAGGGCAAACTACAGTATGAACCTTCACACTCTAAACGTTGCATATTTTTAAAAAATGGAATAGTATTTATATCTTGGACATGCAAATAGTCCATTGGTTGCAGCCATATTCCAGAGTCTTGTTTTCTAATAGAACCATCAGAATTGTGAAATGTTCGTAATATATGCTAATAATGAAAAAAATAAAACAAACAATTCTAAATGTAAAAAAAAAAAAAAAAAATTAGAATATTTTGTTCATCCAGAAATACTTTTTTCTAAAGTCCGCTTCAACCAGTTGCGCATCAATACAAATGTGGCATTTATTTTAAAATAAATTAATATTAAATTAATTTGATCTCAATTTTTAAATTACATAATACTTAAATTACATAATATTTAAATTACATAAACATAAATTACATAAGTTTAAATTACCTAAATTTAAATTACATGAATTTAAATTACATAAATTTAAACTACATAAATTTAAATTACATTAAATTACAGTTTTTGAATGAGCTTAAAAAATAGAAAATTCTAATTTCTGTATCATATCTATGCTTGGCCAGGAAGGCATGTGATTTGACAACATAATTTAAAAAGTTGATTTTTTTTTTAATTATTTAAAAAGTTTGTTATAAAAAACACATATTTGTATAAATATAAAAACATATATATAATAATTATTAATATTTTTATAAAAAATCATTAGCTATGATTAATTTATTTGTTTAAATTTATTTCAATAATTAAAAAAAAAATAAGTTATTTAATTCAAACCGCTTTCAAAAAAGTTTGTCGTTTTTTTTTTCTAAAAAATTTTTCTACTTTTTGAGTAAATTAACTTTAACTATTCTTATATAAAGTTTATTAAAGAGACCATCGCTGTTTAAAGTCATTGCTTATAAAATTTACTTTTTTTTTAAATAATTTTTACTTTTTTTTTTACTTATAAAAAAATCTTATATAATTACATAATATAAATAAAAATTTATACTTTGAATAATACTTTAAATAAAATCATTAGCTCCTTTATTTAAAAGCATTTTGCTAATATAAAAATGTTAATAAAGATAAACCTGTCAAAGTTATATATTTTCAACATAATTAAAAATCAATCTTTTCAGTGCATTTGTTAAAAACCATGGTTAAACCATCATAACAAAATATTATTTGCGTGGTCATATAAAGATTTGAAATCGCAGGACCACCTGGCCAAGCCTGCAATATCTGTTAAAAGATAATTTTTCTTTACAAAAACACGAACTCAAGAAAATTTTACAATATAAAATGTTTGTAAATTGTTTTCACAAATAAAAGCAGCAATTGAAAACAACTACGGCATAACTGATTGGCATTTTTCTGCTGATTCTGAATTTTTTATTAGGTATTTGCTATTCCGGATACGATCCGGATAGTTAGATTATATAATTACATTTGATATATAACGTCATGCTCATTAAATGGTGTGTTTGTTAAATCAACAAATCCACAGAAATGAGTAATATATGCAGAGTGGTTTTTTTTTCTATAAATACTTTTTGAATTTTTTTGCTTTAATTTGTGAAAAACCTGTTTTTTTAGTTATTTGGTTATTTAGTGTTTTGTTTTGATTATTTACTTATTTACTTAATTTCACTATTTGGATCGGTCTGCCATTTTGGTACCAATTAATTGGTTTTTAGCAAAATCCGACCGGTACCGATTTCCGGATCAAGATTCGGTTATGCCCTAAAAACAACAACATAATCAGGACTGATTGATAATTAATAACACACACAGATATATATATATATATATATATATATATATATATATATATATATATACATATATATATATATATATATATATATATATATATATATATATATATATATATATATATATATATATATATATATATATATATACATACATATATATATATATATTTGTAAATATATATATGTACATATATATATATATATATATATATATATATATATATATATATATATATATATATATATATATATATATATATATATATATACATATATATATATAATATATATAATAAATATATATAATATAAATAAATATATATATATATATATATATATATATATATATATATATATATATATATATATATATATATATATATATATATATATATATATATATATATATATATATAATAAATCAAAACTAAACACAAGAATGTAGCTTTATGCTAAAATAATTTTTTTTTGTGGTTTAATTACGAAGATTAAAGCATTTCACTTAATTTTGCCTGTGTTTATTTCTTCACAAAAAAAAAAATTTATAAATTTGAAAAAAGTTTAACATGTTTGTATTATTTTTGTATGAGATATAAGAAAATTTTATTTCAGAAATTGACTTATTATTTAAAAAATTTTGGTTCTCTTGAAGAAGCTGAAAACAAATTCTTTTGAGAAAATATTGTATTCAACAAATTTAATTAACTTTGAAACTGTTGGATTATAGAGTTTCTCATTTGTCAATCCCATTTATCTGCGAATTTCTTTTGTTCATTCTTGAGTACCAGGTCCAGAGAGTATAATGCCACAACATTGCAAAATGTGATTTGAATAAAGTGGAATTTTTACAATAATGACTATTCTTGCACCACTCAAACATTTTAAAGCTATTATGTGTGGTTGTCCATAGTGATAACAATTGGCTTTTGAACATCTTTGAGTTCTTTGTTCAGCATTTTGATGTAATCAAAAAGTTTCTTTTTGATTACATTATAATGATGCTAACCCTTTCCCATAGGTAAGAATTTATATTTTGCTTCAACATTTAAAAAACATTTAATACAGTAAGTCAAACACCAGTTAACTTAAACTTTTGTTATCTCTAACTATTTTCTATAGTCCCTTGAAATCAACAACAACTGTTTTATTTCGCTTAAGTTGAGCATTTGTTTAGTTTAACTGTTTTCCTTGGTCCCTTGGAGGTTCAAGTTAACGTGAATTTACTGTATAAGTAAATAAATAATATATCACAATTAAAAAAAAAAAAAAAAAATTAAACTTACAAAACGCAAGTATTTGCAACAACAAATTACAAGTTGATTCAAAAATAATTTGCAATGTCATATTTTGTCTGTTTGCTCAAAAAATATTGGTCTGGAATTTTTGCAAGATATGAGAAGTTAGCACTTCTCATATCTCAGAATTGCTGATGTTTATTTGGTCAATCTAATAAAGTGATTAGAAATGTAAAAAATTATTTTCAAGTACCTGTATCAATTTAAATAAATTTAGGCAATTTCTTATATACCTGATTTTGATGCTCAAGAAACCTATGTAGCCTTGATAATATCCAAAAGAAAAAAAATAAAAAAATTACACATCATTCTATATTAATTGATCTTTTAAAAAGTATAAAGATTTTGATCTGCAAGTATATGGATTTCTATATATGGATAACAGGGTACAGTACCCATTTAGTATTGCAACTAGGGAGTATTGCAACTGATTTTTGATTAGCTAGAGCTCTGTAACTTTTGGCATTTCTGTAGTGCCAATGAACGTGCGTGTTTCAACTGTTTTTAGGGCCCAAAACACCAATAGGGGCGAGGGGGGCTGAATCATGAGCCTTCTTTTTAGTAGCAGAATCTTGTGATTTTTCATTACTTTCCAGACAAACTGGAGCTCTGAAACTTTCACCATTTGTGAAGTCCTGATGAACGTACATTAAAATTGTTTTAAGGGCAGATGACCAGAGGGTATATAAGGGCCGGGCACTGGGGTCCCAGCCAATATATGCTCCATTCAGTTTTTGATTATACTTGTATTCAATGATCTTTCTTAAAATGTTTTAAGAAAGTACATGTGTATATAAGACTTTTGATTAGCAAGCATATAGATTAAAAACAGTCATCCACCTAAAATAATGATTTTAACAAAATTTTACATTGTATGTCAAACTTTTTGAATTGTAAAGAAAACAGACAGAGCAACATTGATCTGTCAACTGAAGAATACGAAGTGATGTTATCAGGGGCAACATTGATTTTGTGTATGAAGTTCAGAGACAAATAGTTAATTATTTAAAGGAAAATCATCTTGATATTTAAAAGATACTTTATTTTTCATATGGTTGTGGGCAATATAAAAACCACAAAAATCTTTACAATATCTGTCTTCATAAAGATAATTTTGACATTGATGCAGATTAGTCATTTTTGCTACAAGTTATAGTAAGTCACCATGTGATGGTATTGGTGGCACAGTAAAATAATTAACTGCAAATACAAGTCTACAAGGTCCCATAAATGACCAGATATTGAATTGCAATTAAATGCTTACTGATATAAAAAAAAATATTAAAGGAATAATTTTTTTTAATTAAAAAAAGAAAGACTGACAGAATTGTGCATCATTTTAAAATAAACGTTTTCAGCAGAACAATTCCTGAAAATAAGAGCTATCGTCAATTTAATCCAAAATCTATAGATACTATTAGCTTTAAAAGAACAAGTGAAGATTTTAAAATAACAGGCATAATTTATTCTTCTGGTATTCAAAGTATTCAACCTAATCAGCAAATTATCATCAATACATTGAAAATTAACATTATTACATTGAATTTGGTGAATTTGTTCTGTGTAAATAAGATACATTACATTGTATGATTGGTATGATAAATGAAATTGACAATATCGAGCAAGATGTTAAGGTAACATTTATGCACCCACACGGTCCTTTTAACAAACCATCTAGAGCAGATAAGTGTTGGGTTCCAATTACCAATATAAATTGTACCATTAATGCACCTGTAACAACAACTGGATGTATGTATACTTTGACTGTTGATGCATCTCAGCAAATTTTTAAAAACAATATTTCCAAAGTTATCATTATTAAAAATGCAAAAAAAAAATGCAAAAAATGCAAAAAAAAATTTTTTGATAAAATAAATTTTTTTTTTTAAGAAAATTGTTTTGAGAAAATATTTTTTGAGAAATTTTTTTTTTTGAAAATAAGTGGGCCATGGACGCTCTGGTCGCCAATCCTGGAAACAATTTTAACACAGGTTCATTAGGACTACACAAATGCTAAAATTTTTAGAGCTCCATTTTGCCCGGAAGGTAGAGAAATATCTATCACAATATTCCACCACAAAAATGGGGCACTTGCCTCAGCCCCCCTATTTTTTTGGGGCCCTG